TATTACTGGTGCACACCAAACAAAAATGTCTCAAAATAAATGAAGCAAAAATTGATGGAACTGAAAAAAAGAAGCAGAAAAACCATGCAGATTCTTACTGGACATACATTTTCAACTCATTGGGTAACTACCTAGGAGCATGAATGCTGGATCATATGGTAAGGCTGTGTTTACCTTTATGAGGCTGGGCCCCCACGAGTTTTTGTGTTTTATTTTTCTAATATGTTTTTATTTATTTTAGAGAGCGAGAGGGAAAGGGAGAGAGATAGAGAAACATCAATGATGAGAGAGAATCTTCATGCCCCCAGCAACCCAGGCATGTGCCCTGACTGGGGAATCGAACTGTGACTTCCTGGTTCATAGGTTGATACTAAACCACTGAACCTCACCCCACCACCCAGGAGTTTTTAATCTCCAATTAGCCCATTCTCAGGCTCCAGCAATTAGTCAATTTCTATTTAAATATCCCTACTCCTTGTTGGCTTTAGCCCTGTGTTTCTGCTCTTGGGTCTCTGCCCCCGGTAAGCGGTTATGCTCTGTATTCACTTCTAAAAATTTTCTGGAAGGTGGGGGAGTGGCAGCAGTTTATCCTGTGGCCTCAATTTTCTAATAGATCTATGAAGAGTAGTTGATTTTAGTTTGTCCAGTTATTTTTTCTCATGAGGACAGAATGGCAGCTCCCGAGCTCTTCATAAGCCAGACTGAAAACGGGAGGGCTCCTCTGCTTTTATAAATATACATATTTTACTGGGTGTTCTGTTTTCTTTCCTTTTTATTCCGCTTCTGTGATGTTTCAGTTCTTTTCCACTGGCTGCTTTGTAATTTCACTTAAATTTACTTAAATAAAATGCTCTCCGTTCCCTCTTCTTTTAGTCCCAACCTATCTGTTCCCTACAGCAGAACTAACTCACATCCTCTATCCTCCTGGTTGCATGATTTTAGTCAACAGTATGAGCTTAGTATTTGTATTTGTAAAAATGTTCCTATCCCAACTACTCTGTCTCTCAGCTGTTGAGTGGTACCCTTTGATTCCCACCTATCTCAGCTGCTTCTGTTTTCCACTGTTTTCCCTCCTGATGTTTGTTAGTTGTTTCATGTCCACATTGAGGAGAAAACAACATCATTCCATTCTGTTATCCTTATTCTCATCTTTTCTTTAGTCTCAGTTCTACAGTTAAAAACATTCGTAGCTCCCAACGTTCCTTTTCCCTCAAATTCTCTGTCATGACGGGCCTGGCTGCAGGTTCTCTTCTTGGGTTGTGTCTGTTCAATTTTCTTTTTAAATCATCACCTGAAGGTATGTTTTTATTGGTTTTTCGAGAGACATGAGGAGAGAGAGAGAGAGAGAGAGAGAGAGAGAGAGAGAGATCAGTTACCTCCCATGGGAGGATCAAACCTGAAACGTTTTGGTGCACAGGATGGCACTCTGAGCCGCCCTGCCCGTGTCCTTTCAATTTAAGATTTCTGCTTTGTTATCATAAAAATTGTGGCAGATATGCTGTTATTATCGTTGTCATCACTATTCACAGCTATACTTACTGATATTATTTTTGGTCTCCTTTCTTTGTTTTTGTTTCATTAATCTTGCCAAAAATATATCTATTTTACTAATACTGCCAGTTTACCAGGGTTTGCTTGTTTGTTTGGCATTGTCTATTCTGTCCCTTTATCTTTGATTCTACTTCATATTTTTCTGCTTTGAGGGTTTTGGGGTTTTCGTGTTTTTAGTTTTTAGTTCTATCCCATTGTTCTGACTCTTGGGTAGTATAAATGCTTCAGAACAGAGATCAACAAACTGTGGTCCACAGGCTAAATCCAGCCAGCCACCTGTTTCTGCCAATAAAATTTAATGGAACACAACTGCACCCATTCATTTATGTATTGTCTATGGCTGCTTTTATACTACAATGATATTGTATTAACTTTGAGTTGTTTAATAGTTTACATATCCTTAGTGATTTTTTTTTCTGTATTGGCCTTTCAGTTATGGAGAGAAGTTTAGCAAGATTTCCCACTATGGTGGTGTACAGTGGTAGGCAAAAGTAGGTTTACAGTTGTGGGTACATGAAACATGGTTTATTCTTGTATTATTATTTATCAATGATTGTATTATTTTCCATATGAACAACTATAAACCTACTTTTGCCCCACCCTGTATTTGTTCATTTCTCCTTATAATTCTGTTACATTTTACAGTTTTGCTATAAGTAGATAGACCTTACATGCATGGAAGTTAGTTACATTTACTGGTAAATTTTTTTTTAATTTGAATATTGGATGGAATTTTGGCATTATTTTAATAGAGATACAATTTATCTTTTACTGGTACTTGCCTAGTGTATATTTCAATTCTTTTACAGTCAGTCTTTTTGTTTGTCTTTTATATTTGTCCATGTTGAACAGCAAAGAGCTAAAATTTATTATTTCAGATAGATAATCTTTGTCTTTAAAATTTATTCTGAGTGCACTTACTGTAGTTGCTGTTAAATTTATAATTATCAGCTTATATTTTGCTTTCTATGTGTCCTGACTTTTGTATCTTTTGAGTCTTTTTTGCTCCTTTCTCACCCTCACTTGAATTTATTGTTTCTAAATTTTTTAAAAAAATTGGAAACCACATATTATATATATTTTTAGTGACCATATTTAACCTACTACAATCAAATGTACTTTCCTAGAATACTATCATTGCAATCAATTTCCCTTCCATTTAAGCTTAATTTTTCAATTTAATTCTACCATGTTTTAACCACACTCTAAAATTTGCATTACTGGGTTTTTGCATAGATATATTTGAACTTAACCCACAGATTTCTACTTTTTTAGTTAATTTCTTATTACATTTCAAATCTTCCATATGAAGCCATATCAACTAAAAAACAAACAAACAAACAAAAAAAACCAAAAAAAAACACCTGAAAACTTACGTACTTACAAAAACAAAATGTTGGAATTAATAAACATAAAAGGAAAATTATTTTTTATGACACACACAAAAAGTAGTACCATGTTTAATTAAATGTTTATTTAAAAGTATGATAAGGTAGACAAAGCTATAATCAAGGATAAAATACAAAATTTTTCTTAAAACAATGTAATGTAAAATTCAGGGCTAAAATTTTTGAAAACTCCATCAAATTACATGAAAGGAAAATATTAAAATCAGCTTGAGAAGATATAAAAAGCTTGAATAAATGAAAAGTCATAAATAAAACAAAAAGTTAACAAAGAACAACCCCTAAAAGAGTGATGGGCTCAGACAGTTTAACCTGTAAGCTATTAAAACTCTCCAAAAACTAACGAAATCTTATAAAATATTTTAAAACTCCAGAACATAGAAAAGATAGACTATTTTAAAACAGACTGTATTTCATGGGGAAATCTTCGAGATTGGAGACCCAGGGGGGTGCTGAGGATAACACTGCCAAAATTTGACAGCATCAGGAAGAGAAAAACAACAGATTCTAGGCCAATTTCTTTAAAAATTATCAAAGTTAGTTCAGCACTATATTAAAAGTTTTAATGTTCAAATAAGGTTTATTTTTTAGAATGTATAGATAAGCCCATATTGATACATCTGTTAGATCATTTATTTTTTTGTAATTCACCCTTTTAGTAATTCATTTATTCTAAGTGGTGAGAAGCAGATATAGAATTAAATTATTATTCACCTGCTATGATTTGTAACGAATGTACTTGCAATATACAAGTAGTTAAGTCCCGGCTTTGCCTGGCTGAGGAGTATCTCTGGCTCCGGCATTAGCAAACAATATGAATCCCATGTAAGCCATCTTCCTTTGAAGGACAAGTCACTGAAAAAATTACCCTTCTAACAGCACAGAGAAGTGAAGCAGAGATGCAGATGATTGCTGATAGTGCTTCCCGTTCCATAAAAGCTTAAGTAGGGAACATGGACAGAGAGCAGGCTTTTCCCCGAGTCTAAGGTTGAATGTCCAGATCTGTCATTTGCAGCTGAAGAAGTCTCGCAGTTCCCACTGATCTTAAACTATCCAAGTGAAACTAACAAACTCTACTATCATAGATTGGTACTAGGACTTCCACGAGTCTTGAAGGTAGGATCTGGGCG